AATCCCAAACTCGTAGCATTATCCAGAATTTTTATCATATGGTTGAAACTCAATTTCATACCAAAATAAAAATTATAAGATCTGACAATGGAATTGAATTCACCATGACTGACTTCTATCATTCCAAAGGTCTCATACATCAGGTTAGTTGCGTTGAAAGACCCCAACAAAATGGCATAGTGGAACGTAAGCATCAGCATTTGCTTAACGTAGCTAGAGCCCTCAAGTTCCAGGCAACTCTTCCTGATAAATTTTGGGGAGAATGTGTTCTTACAGTTACCTATCTCATCAATTGTATTCCCAGCTCTTCTTTGGCTCACCTTATGAAATTCTCTTTTCCACCAGACCTATCTATCACCATCTACGGGTTTTTAGTTCTCTATGCTATGCTTCCACTCTTCATAGAAATAGACACAAGTTTGATCCTCGTGCTGTCCCTTGTGTTTTCATTGGTTATCCACCACATATAAAGGGATATAAATTGTATAATCTGCGTACTCATGATGTTTTCATATCCAGGGATGTTGTATTCCATGAATCTTTGTTTCCCTTCAGTAATCCTTCATTCTTAAGTGTTCTTGAATGTCCAGATGCTAATTACAATGCAGCATCTCCTCTCCCTCTCTTTCGCATTTCTTCTTTCTCCTTTCCAGAACTCTCAGAACTCCCTACTTCAGTTTCTTCTGCCACCTCTAGTTCTCCATCTCAGGTACCATTAGAAGAGTTTCATAGTCCACAATCTATTTCCTAAACTCCTTTATTCTCTTCTTCTGTTCCTTCACCTATCTCTTATTCTTCTCCTTCTTCACATATTCCACCCAACTCTCCTCACAGATCTAGTAGACCAAGGAAACCACCCAGCTATCTTGAACTTTTTCATTGCAACCTTGCCACTCAGTAGTCTTCCAATCCTTGTCCAACTTCTTATCCCCTGTCTGCTAGCTTAGGCTATGATTCTCTCTCACCTGTTTACATGGCCTATGTGTTGTCACTCTCCACTACTTCTGAACCACGATCCTTCTTGGAGGCTTCTCAATCACCAGCCTGGTGCCAGGCTATGGATGCTGAGTATCAGGCTTTGGTTGCCAACAACACATGGACCATTGCTCCCTTACCTGCAAATAAGAAACCTGTTGACTGTAAGTGAGTTTATAAGATCAAGCTTAATCAAAATGGGACTGAGGATAGGAAGAAAGCTAGACTAGTGGCAAGAGGATTTACTCAACAAGCAGGGCTGGATTATCAAGAGACTTTTTCCCCTGTGGCAAAACTGACTTCAATTAAGGCTCTTCTAGCAGTGGCTGCCGTAAAAAATTGGCATCTTTATCAACTTGACATTAGCAATGCCTTTCTTCATGGTGATCTTGAAGAAGAGGTCTATATGAAACTTCCACCAGAATATGAGCAGCAGGGGGAAGATGGTACACAATTGGTATGTAAGCTCAACAAGTCTATCTATGGCCTCAAACAGGCATCGAGACAATGGAACACAAAGCTGTCTTCATTCATCACTTCCCAAGGTTTTGTTCAATCCAAGTCTAATTACTCCTAGTTCAGTAGAAGGACTGGCTGCTCATATACCGTAGTCCTCATCTATGTTGATGACATAATAATAGGGGGAAACGATTTGACATACATTGAATTTTTTAAAAGGTGTCTTGATAATCAATTTAAACTGAAAGACTTAGGGATTTTGAAGTACTTTCTGGAGCTTGAGGTGGCGATATGCCCTAAAGGAATATCTATATGCCAATGTAAGTATGCGTTGGAAATACTTGAGGATGCTGGATTCTTGGGCTCAAAGCCTGCAAAGTGTCCCATGTTACAGAACATAAAATTGACTAAAGATGAGGGAGAGTTAATTGATGATCCAGGAATGTATAGGAGGTTAATTGGCAAGTTGCCATACTTAACTATCACAAGACCAGATTTATCTTTTGCTGTGCAAGTCTTGAGCCAATATCTTGAGTCTCCCAGAAAACCTCATCTGATTGCTGTGCATCACGTACTCAGATATGTGAAAGGGACTCCAGGACAAGGTTTATACTTTGTAGCTGATTCCAACCTTGAACTTAAGGGCTTTTGTGATGCAGATTGAGCCTCTTGTGTGGATACCAGAAGATCTGTTACAGGCTTCTGCATGTTTCTTGGTAAATCCTTGATATCTTGGCGATTGAAGAAACAACATACCATCTCCAGATCTTCAGCTGAAGCAGAGTACAAGGCAATGGCTGCAACAGTCTACGAAATAATTTGGCTCAAGAAGGTGTGACAGATTTAGGAGTGGAACATCCTAAGGCAGCTCTTCTATTTTGTGACAATCAGGCAGCGTTACATATAGCAAGTAATCTTATCTTCCACGAAAGAACGAAGCATATAGAGTTAGATTGTCATTTGGTGAGGGAGAAGGTGCAATCAGGTGACATCAAAACTATGCATTTGTCTACACAGAATCAATTGGCAAACCTACTGACGAAAGCTGTAGCAGGAGCTAGATTTAGAACCTTGTTAACCAAGATGGGTGTCTTGAATATCCACTTGCCATCTTGAGGGGGAGTCTTGTGGTGCATTACAGCTGAAGCCAACATGTTTGCTTACTTAGCTTTATTTCCGTTAGGAGTTAGTTCAAAGTTGTTGAGGGTTGCTGAGCTGTCACCATACAGCTAGCAATTAGCTTGTAAATATTTGTGTATATATACTCTTGTAAATTCACTTCCACTGTAATGAGAAAATTCACTTTCACGTGAACCTCTTTCCTTCCAAATCTGCTGAGCATCATCTCTGCAATTAGGTATCAAAGTCTATACAGACGTCAAAATTAAACAATAACATGGGAACACTAACAATAGACTTAGATGGGAATATAGCAAATCCATTTCAGCTCAGTGCAAGCCACATTCAACCTTCAAAAGCAGCACATCATCGACTTGTTTATAATGCTTCTTATACTAAATGTTGTGCAGAAGAGGAGGTGGATATACCTTCCTATACATTTAGCCTTCAAAAGCAGCCTTCGAAATGCCTGTTGTGTAGAAGAGGAAGTGGATATCCCTTCCTTTCATACCTTCTAGCTGAACACATATATCCAAAGTCAAGTTTCCATTAAAATTTCTAAATACCACTCCAAATATTTCTTTATGCACAGATCAAATGAAATCATAATAAAACGAATTTATCCCATATACAAATCCTAATGTCAGTGGCTTGAGAAATGACATTCGATAATCTTCCTTTTTCTCTGATATATGGGTGCTTTAATAAATAATACTAGAGCAAGACAAGTGTGATTGAGAGGGCAGGGACATCTTATGAAATTCAAGATTTCGGTCGGGATTTTGCAGGGATTTTTAGGATTCTTCATGAAGTTAGGGGCGAATTTGTTTCCTTTTGGGGGCTACACAGAAGCGAGTTCTTAGACTGCTGGGATTTTAACGATCTTGGCCCAGTTGGCCTAGTTTAAAGTTTGTTACGTGCCACGTCGGATTTCCGTCCACCACGTGACACATTCTGTTAGTTGAAGTTCGCGGTAATTAAATGGGTGATGGATGGGTAAATAATTGAATGGACGGGTGAGCAACAAGTTATATTTGATAATTCAATGAGCAAGTAGTAATGCAAACTAAAGTTGGATGAGTATTGATTAAATTTACTTTTTATTATCCAAGCATTTTATGGAACTCGCTATTATTCCGACTAAAAAATACTAATAAATCTACGAGATGAAAATTTAATTTGATATCTTAAATACTAATAGAACTTGGGTCTAATTAGATTAAGCTTCCATTTGATAAATTTATAAATGATTTATAAATAGGAATAATAAAAGCATATAGTATTAGTTCCTTAATGCAGCATCATGTGCTTGCTGGCGGTGGACATTATTTCATTTAATTTGTTTCACTTATCTGAAGTTTCCACATTGAATACCCACTGATAGGAGAGACATGCATAAATTTGAACAGATGTATACACCCAAAGACCCGATGACCAAGCTTAATAATGTAGGTGTTTGTGTGATATGATTTCACATATTTTCCTTTTATGGTAAATGAGAATTGAGAAGTAAGCACTTAGAGATGGGATTGTTAAGATTTGTGATTTCATCTTAAAATGTCAACCTTATTAAGAGGAATATCTCAAACTCAAATTGGTCTATGTTTTTCATTTTTATTCGATGTGTGATTTTATCATTTAACATGTTCCCATAATATGGTGGCTCGTTTAAGCAGACCAATCTTGAAATCCGTGTGCTCAATTTTTTTGAGTCTTAATCGAATCGAATTGCTAGTTGGAGCTTGATGAGCTCCAATACTATGTTAAGATTTGAGGTTCTATCTTAAAAAGTGCTTAATAAGCTCTAATACCATGTTAAGATTTGAGATTCCATCTTAAAAAGTCAACTTTATTAAGAGGAATAGTCCAAACTTTTATAAATTGGTCTATGTTTTCATTTTTATTTGATGTGGGATTTTACCGCTGATGGAATCTATTTTGTTGATATTTGAGGAAAAGGAAGAGAAAGCCTATCTAGTTGACACACATTTTTACAGTACATTTAGTCCATTTTCTACCACCATAAGCTTATATTGTGAAGTGTTGTTTGATTTTAAATCAATTATTAGGCCCCTGTTTGGTACATATTAAAATTTTCATTTTCATTCTCCTACTCATTTTCAATCAAACATTCTTCAATAAAATAATATTTTTCATCACATCAATAATTTTTTTTTCTTTTTCAACCACATATTCTCCATTAATCTACTATTCCAGAATACATTCTTCCAAAATAATGTGGTTGAAACACACGAGGAATAGTTTACCAAAGTTTTTGGTGACTGTCCTTGTTAACTTGAGATTTTACGATCTTCTACCAAATATTTTATGCAGCTTAATGAACTTAGTAGTTCTATATTTCTTGTGCTTCGACCACAGCCTATGCAAGGTGGCCTTCAAGACAACAAACAAAAGACTAGTAAAAGTTTTGAACAGTACTTCCTGTTATAAAAGAGAATAGAATATGGACAAGACTGTTTTAATTGTGTGAAGTCTGCCCCTTCCAGCCATTTGAATATTATTCCGAGCTGCAGCTTGCATTCTTGCAGCTATTGTAGCATGATCTCTGCGAGAGTCCACCTAATAATTAAGTTCATATAATTAACTTATTGAATAAAATCACTATGGCCGAAATCATTGTTAGGCTATAAACATGGGGAGATTTCATGTGGTTACTTGTTTGGCGGATGTCTGATTTTGTGTTTATGATTGAATTGACTATTCGAATCATTTATTTTTAAATGGACCATTGAACTTAGTTCTACAGCAGGGGATGGAGAGCATACCTGCAGGATGAGCACGGGACATCAAGTGAAGCTATGGACTATATGCTAGCTATGTAATGATCTCTACTGTTGCACATTTACATCGGTTATTAGTCTGTTCCTTTTAACGAGCATGATTCTTGCAAGGATGTGCTTATCATCTCCTTTTGTTAATGGATGCACTTCGCCAAGCTTCTAACGTATATATAATCTTTGTGATTGAATGACGTTTTATCTCTTCCCCTCTCTTCTCTTCTTCATTTTTTTTTTTTTGTTTTGATACGCTCTGATATGTATATATATGTATTTTTTAATTTTTTTTTTCATATTTTTATATTTTTTAAATTTCTGATACATTTCGAATACTTATTTTTAATTATTTTCGATACATATCAGATATGTTAGAATACGTGAAGAAGGGTTTTATTGATTTTAAACTCTTTTGAAACTCATTACTATCGGCTATAGATTGACAAAAAAAAAAAAATTACTTAATAAATAACTATTGTTATTAATCAATAACTTATTGAAATGGATAATATTTATTGAAAATACACAACTAGAGTTTTAATTTAATTGACAACTAGAGTTTTTTTATTATTGGAAATACACAATAATATTAAATCTTTTAATATTTGTAAACATGTAAAACCATGTTAATATTGATAAATATATTTTTATTATTGAAAAAGATGATAGTATTAAATCTCTATTCTAAAGGAGGATTCAAAATGTGGGATATTGTCGTAGATGAATCTATCATTAGATGAGCAAGAGTTAGAGAATGTTATTTTTAATGATAATGAAGAAGTTGATGTTGGTGATGTTGAAGAAAATGAAGTTGGAACAATTAAGGATTAAGATAAAATACATCATCATCATCATCATCATCATGTTTTTGTTTTAATTTTTCTTTTTCTATTCGCATATCCTAATTTTTTTAAAAAGTTGTATCATCGTAATTGTATCGTATTCGAATTATGTATTCAAATTTGTGCTTCCTAGATTTTAAGTAAAACTTCTTTTTAGAAGAAAGACAATGGCCTAGCTTTTTGGCTCCAGTAGGAAGCATTACATACTCGGCTCCAGTAGAATAGCATCATTTCTTAGAACTAGAATGTCTTTTGCTTTCTGTTATAATTTGTTAGATGTTATGAGATTCTGACATTTTAATGCAGGAAGGGCTTTTGGATTCCTAGATAACGAGTTATTTTCCCTCTGTTGTTAGTGGAGGATGAGTCCACTAATGAAAATGATTAGTCTTCTCAGTGAAATCTTTGAATACAAAATGGTATGGGGTACATGGCAATAGTTCATGTCCACACTGCATCTGTGTACAATCAATAATGTGCTCATATCACTGTTGTTATACCGTGTCAATTTAAACAATTATGTCAACAATTTCCATTTTATAGTAATCTAAAGTTTGTTTAACTCATCATTTGAAATTTTTCAGGGGTCTCAGTAAATCTGATCGTCAAGGGAGAATTGATGCCTATGCTGCTATGGTGAGCAATCATCAAAATCATTTTTTGCTATGCTGTTTTTGGCTATAAATTCATATTTACAAAGTATGGCACTACTGGCTATCATTTGTTAAAAGATTTTTACATTATTTGTAGATGTAGACACACATGGATACATATTCTACGTATTGTATTCGTTTCAGTACACTACTTTGAGTGAAAGTAGAATTTTCTTATTTACTTTGGTCCTAAAAAAAGATAATTTGTATGTGATGCGTTTCTCTTTTTCTTGATTTCAGAAGGTGCTCGAAAGATATTTCTCGCATTCAGGACTGGGTATTGAACTCGTATTACCGAAGCAGGTGGAACTCCAAAACAAGCTTTGTCAAGGTCCACCAAAAGATGTTGATTTTTTCCCAGAAGAATCCGCTGGTTGATATGTTCTGGCACAAACTTCGTCGGAGGACCTCCACGAGTTTTGGAATCTGTTCATAATATCAAAATAATCTGTAGTACGTGTTTGATAAGTGTTCTGTGATTATTGATTAATGGTTCATTCTACCTGTATCAACAGCCTTGTGCAATAGTAGAATATTAATATAATGTAAAATGATTTATATGATTATAATTATCAGTATGTACACATTAGTTGCAATTTAGACTCTGTTTGGAAAAATGTATATATATAAATGGTTTATATAAATGGATAGAAATTATTGGTGCATAAATGGATAGTACTTGTAGGTTTCATTGAAATGTGTGGTTGAAAATGCAGCTTGAGTTATAAATTTGCTCATCACAGGCTCTATATTTATAATTTTTAGTAAGGATAGCAAAGCAACACATTTTTTCATGTCTGGCCAAATTCTTAAATAATGTGATGTTCTTGATACCAGTTCAAGGATGTTAAGGGAACAATAGATTTTCTATGGAGAAGCTTGACGGTATTATTTATTGTCTGAATGTTTGAAAAGATACTACACATTTGTTTGATTCCCATTATTTTCAAAATATATATTTTTCTCTTTTATTTTCAACTATACATTCTTCAAGAAAATAATATTGCACGTAAATCCAAACTTTTTTTTTATTTTTAAGTGCACATTTTCCATCGAAATACTATTTCAAAATGCATTTTGAGCCCAAAAAAAAAAGGGGGGGGGGGGGGGGGTTCAAACCCTCTCCAACCTGGGGGGGGGGGGGGGGTCCAAGTTGGTTGGTTTGGGTCACATTATATTGTGAACCATGTAAAGAGTGTGTAAGCGCATGAATAAGTAGATGCTAACTAGTCAGTTTGAGATCCAATTTTATTTTAGGTTTTTAATGGAAAAGTGTTAATAGTGAGTTGAAATAGAATAAGATTGGTCCATACCGAATAAAAGATTTTTTGTTACTAATTTAAACACGAATCTATAGGATAGGGAAGTTTCAATTGAAATAATTTTGTACCACCCTTGGTTTCATAAGAAGATGGATTAATTTTCAAAGGACCAAAGCTGGGAGACTTGAGGGATGATATAAAGGGGAAGAGTTGAGATGGAGAACAGCCAATTATTCCATGCATTTCACAGCGAAACTGTCGGATTGTAGCAATTAAGATGCGACTCTTCATTTCTAGGTATATTCCCATTCTTATGCTAAAATGGGAAAAGTACAATTATTGAGAGTGATAAAATCTAGAGAATTATTGGCCCACATTAGGCTTTTGAGAAGCCTAAAGGAGCTTGCTCAAAAACTGTTTTTGGATATGCTTGATTAACTTTATTAAAGTAGTTAGAAAGTGCTTTTAGGGAACTCATCAGTGTAGATTCATCTAAAAGTTTTTCGAAGGAGAGATTTTTTTAAAAATTAGCTTTCAAACACTAATTAAGTTGAGCTAGATTTCTCAAAAAAGTTATTCTACAAGAAGTAGAAGTCCTCCCAAATGAACACTTTATATCACTAAACACGATATGATACCACAATAGTCTTTTTGCTGCTAACGATACCATATCGAGCAATATTACTTGCAGATGGGCCCTGGAATGAAGAGATTTAAGAAGAAGAATATAATGATGTCAAATCAGACAAGAAGCTGTTATTCCACACACTACACAACACCCCAACTTCACACAACTATTAAGAGGAGTGTACACTCAATAAATAACACATGGTGTAAAAATGAAATAAACTGCACAAACGTTTTACATAAAAGAAAGTCTAAATCTTTACTGCTCTCTTTATTGTCTTAATGAAGCTGTTTCTGGCCACTGCAAGATCCTCATTGTAATCATCATCATCATCACCATCAAGCACTAATGGCTTTTTCCTTATGCAATCCACTCTCTTTTTCATACCTTCCAATATCAGAGATGGAGAAGATGGAATTTGGCGAAATGATCTGAAACTCTCTGACCTCGAAAGCTCCCTTTCTTTTCCAACTTTTCCTCGTCTCCCATTCTTCTCTTCAGCACTACTAGTTTTCCCTACTTTTTTGCCATCAGAACCCGATTCATTAACTTTACTTCTCTCTGGTCCTATCTTGTATGGTGGATTCTTTAATGGAGTGTTTTTATTGCTTGTATTAGCAACTTCACTCTTTTTCTCATCTTCTTTTTTGTTATTCGACTTTGATTTTCTTGCGTCTATTTCAGCAATCTCTTTTGCTTTCTCACTATTTTCCTCAATCTGATTCAAACACTCTGATTCCTTGACTCTTGAAACTTCGATCTTCTTGTCTGGATATATTAGGTTCAGCTTCCGGATTAATTTCTCAGTCTCACTAGGTTCATTTTCATTAGCTTTTTGAGACTTTAACTCGGTATCTTCTCCTGAATTCTCCAACAATAGTTGAAGCCACTTCTCTACATTTCCTTTCCCGCGTTCCTTTCTACTCTCTTCATCCTCATTTCCATCCGGTTCACAATGAATCGGGAATCGAATGGTGTATATTATCCCTCCCTCTTGTATCTCCAACTTCTCAAGTGCTTCCTCGATTGGTTTATTGTCTGGTGTTGCAACCATGGCTTCATTACATTTCTGAGGCTTCACTATTCGTATTTTGTTAATTTCTTGCTCTTGTTCGTCCTTCAGTGGTAAACTTGCTGATGAAGCCCTCTGCTCCTCCTCCAAGAATTCCCAGAGCTCCTTATGTACAGGGACCCTGGACTCCGTTCCTGGCAAGTACAGGAGGGTCTTATCATCTTTACTTGTTAAAGAAGTATCGTTTATTTCCATCTGTAGTCGTGCCTTCGGATCATTTCCTGGCAAATACAGGACGGTCTTATTGTCTTTCTCTTCGTCTGTGGTATCGTCCATCCTTGATCTTTTCCGTGCCTGATCCCATTCAGGTCTTATCTGTTTCTCCAGTTCATCTTTTTGTTTATATTTCCTGTGAAGATCTCTCTCAGCCGAATCACAGATTGCTTTTTGAGCTTGAAGTCGAGCCAAAAGGGCACTGGTTGCTGCTTGATTCAACCTTACTTGTTCTTTGTAGACAACACTCCTGCATGATGAAAACAAATCAAATAATTCAACTTGATCCAAAATTCATGTCACATTTCAACTCATAAGGTCTGGTGGTCTCGTCGCCACCCATTTGTCAAAGTTGCAAGTCAAGCGTTTGATGGAAAATTAATCGATCCTACATGTGAAACGGCTTGTTGAAGACATAATTCAAATAAATAAATTTGTTCCGTCTCTAACAAGTTTAAGGTTTTAGATGAGGTACTATCTAGTCTGTTTTTTAATGATCTTATTAATTGAAAAAATTACCACTACAAGCTAGCAAACACAGCATAAAAGAAAAGCACATGGAAGAGGGAAAACACAAGTTTAAGTGGTTCGGCTAGATTGACTATGTCAATGGGAGAGGGAGAATCAAATTCACTAATTAAAACTTCAAACTATACACCCTTTTCACTCTCTCAACCTTTCTTATAGCACAATACACAAGTCCAAAATTTTCCTCGCTTTTTCTTCTCTCTCACTTTTTCCTTCTTTGTTTATTTACTTCGTTTCTTTGATTTTAATAATCGAACTTAAGCTTTTATAAGAGGTGATGCAATGATATCTAGTTAGGTTTTAATGATCTTACTGGTGCATGGCATCTCGAATCATCTTTTCTAATACTGCTCTGTAGGAGCACTGTGATTCAGCTAGTTGCCGACACTTTTCAGCTCGTCTTCTTCTCTTCATCAGCACCAACTCGAGGTCTTGGATGGTAGCCTTCTCTTCCTCAGTCTTCTGGTGCAATTCACTGACTTCCATATCTAATTTCTGTATTTCTGCCTCCATTTTCACCGTTACTTCTCTCTGTTTCAGAGAATCTCTGGCCATAATAATAGCCTGATAAGGGTTAGTCGCCATGATTTTATCTTGATTTTCCTTCAATGGCTTCAGTTTCTTTGTAGCTGCCACAAGTGATTGAAGACATTAAAAGACATGTTTGGTAATATGGATTGTATAGTGTTGGGTGGAATAAAAAGGAAAAGGAAACTAAAATCTTGTCCATTGTAATGTGAGAGTCTTGTCTAATACTGTACACTAACATGCAAAAAATTGAAGCTTGTGGTATTTGTTCTTGTCCTGTTCAAATGATGAACGAGTGGAGTAGTTGATGAATGTGTACTGACCTATGATTGGGGTACTTGATCTTGGTCTTCGATTTACATCAAGTGATTTCAATGGGGTGTCACAAGATTCCCTTCCGGACAAAACAACAGCAGCTGGAGCCAGACCCATTATTTCTTTTGATTCAGTGAAATGCTGAGGGAAAGTGTGGGAATCAAATGTTTGTGAAGCCTTTAGTTCTTCATTTTCACCTTCAGAAAACAACCAAGAAAATGCTCTGTGCCTGGAAAATAAACAATTGTAATCCAGTACATAATCGCCATAATGAACCAGAAAGAAGATGCAAATTAGAGAGGAAAGTTTCCGAATCTTGTATTGAATTTTCTTGGTGATCTGCCATTACAATGTCCTGATTGTTATATACAAAGTAGGAAATAAAGAGTCCTTGGAAAATTCTATCCAAGGAAAAACCGTTTAACAAAGACAGCTCATAGTTGTCTAATTATGATTGAAATCATCAAAATAGTTGCTGTAACTGTCATGCATTAACCGTAATACCTATTTTTGAGAAATAATTATCATAAAAGATTACAAAAACTACAATGGAGAAGAAGAATATAAGTTTTTTCACACTTCTTATGCACACAAAAAATCGGCCTTTAATAAAATATTCATATAGTAAAAATATTAGGCCCATTTACGTTCAACTGGAAAAAGTGACTATGATTAGGCTCCTAGCAATTCGAACAGTATCAAAGTAAGATTACCAACCTGAAATCTGAGTTAGATGAAGCAAAGACGGACAAGAACTGGTTAATGGATATGCCGACTTGAAATTCCCACCATGGTATGAGAAACTCCAGCTTGTTATGCTTTTTCTTGCAGACTTGCCATTGTATTATTCTTAGATTGCTTGGAACTGTCAATCCCCCTCCTGCATTTTACCCGAAAACCACAAGTGAAAGCCCTTTAGAATTTGGTCAGAACAAAAACGAAGACAGACTAAGCCTTGTTAATGGAGTCTATGCAATCATTTAATATAAAAGGTAAATAAATATCCATTACTTGTGCAGGGAAACCAATGATCAATGTCCCATGCAAGAGGTGAAGCAGAGTCAGCATGATAGTACAGAACATTGCCATATGGATCAACTCGAAATATTTCTGGATCAAAACCAGCATTCCTGAAAAATTTTTACTTTATAGAAGAATGAGACACCCTTGTGATTTGATGCTGAAGATCAATCATATCAAAGAGTCACAAGGGGGAAAAAAATAAAGTGATCCTCTTTACCCGAGATGATTAAGCCGTTTCCACAGAAGACCTACAAAAATCTTGGGCTTGGTTGTGGGTATTGCTTTGGGATCAACAATTGGAAACATCTCATCATACTCCTTTGTTCTTGAATCCTGTATCATTTGAGTGTTGGAAATAACAACAATGAAGGGTAGAAGGAGATGAAGATGAAGACACCAAATAGAATGGATTTGCTTGAACACGAAGATGAACGTTGTCCTCAAACGATATTTGCTTCCTCTCAAAATGTTTTTAAGGATTCAAATGGTAAATAGTTCGAAGAATTAATCAAGCCTTATGAAGTACACCAAAACACAAGTGTTTCTTCAATATGAACATTGTGAAAACTTGAAAGTGAATATGTATAGGAATTTGATAATCTTTCTTTGATTATATGGAATGATTGTATGTAATATTGTGTTTGATATAGAAAGCTATCACCCGTTTATAGTCTTCTATCACCACATCTCGAAATGGTCTCAACCATTCATGAAAAGATGGAACTCTTCGTCCAAAAGGCAACGGGTAGTTTTTATGCCCATGCGATTGCATGGCTAGCCTTTTAGCCTCAGTTTTCTGCAGAATGGCCCGTGCGACCGCAGACCCTTGCATGGGCAAAATCCAATTTCCCAAATATGAGTATCTTATTTCCCAATTTATTCCCATTTTTTGCCCAATTAAGGCCACTGTCAAATCCAACATTTTGAACAATATATCCAACACTGGGATCATAAGGCTCAAAATTATGTGATCCAAGAGTAGCTTATATGATATGGGAAGGTTACAATTCTAAAGATACAGTAGTAATAGGCATAAGAAGATATTTATACTTCTTTTTACGTGCCAAAATATGAGATTCAGACTTACGTGACAAACCATAAAAGGATCGCTATCGCAATAAGGCATTTAGAATTCCCTTTTCCTAAGAAATTTACACAGAGTTGAATTTGTGATGCTAAATCTTGGTAGAGATGGGCGATATTTTCGATAGTAGATTAACATTTCAAATGGTGAAAGAATTGTTTTATGCTCCCGAAGATAGATTTTTACGACTTAATGGTCACGCATGGAGTTCATGTATCTATTTAATGGGGCAGGCAACTAGAGTACAAATTTCTTATAAAATTGAAGTGGAGTCACTCAAGATTCAGTGAAGAATGGCATCAAATAGCCTTCTTGGCAAACATTACAATTTGATTAAGTCCAAGTAAAATGACTAAAAAATCTCAAGATTATACAAGAAAGAATCTTTAGAAGCACTTAAATTAGCTTAAATCATTTAAATAGCTTAAAGAACTGACCGCACCCCACACCACCCAATTCAAGTTTTTTTCAGAATACTGTCAGCTAAAAACCAGTGTATATTATAAAAAGAGCTTAATGGTTCACAATTACCTCTTCTTGTGGCAAAACATAGGGAGTGAAAGTGAATGGAGGGCCATGGCTAAATGGCCCAAAACTCCTGTCCCTGCACAGCTTGGCGTAGGCTATCGGGTAACCAAGCCCTTCGTCAATTGCCATCTCTTCGTCCATGAACATGAGTTCACTCACCATTTCTTGTAAAAATTTGCAGAGCAAAACCCAGCTGGGGAAAAGATTTTCTTGATCAAGAAAGTAAAGAGTTAACGTTCTCTTGGGTTTCTTTAAAAGATCCTGGTGTTCTTTTTTCAAATAGTTGATAGGTAACGGCTATATATGCTGACCCACATTCCACAATAAGTTGTTCGTTAAATTCGTGCTACTCGAAAAGACTAATTTGTCCTCAGTAACTACATGAGGTTGAAACCATAAAAGGATAACTCAGTCAGAAAAAATGGACCCACAATTTTAAACTTTAGATAAGGCTAAACCTTTTTAAAAATTAAAATTTTATTCTAATTCAAAGTCAATAACTAATTTTAATTATACAAAGTAAAGGACACACAACTTTTCAGCACACATTTCATCAACTTTTATTAAAATAAACTAAAAGTCAGATTTTAATTTCCATAAAACATGAGCTAAATATATATTCATACCACAATTCTTAATTACCTTAACTACATTTTAATTGCAAGAAATGTTAGTAACCTTTACACATTATCACATTCAAGTCTCAAACTATTTTCATCTCATTCTCATCCTCAAAGTAACATAAATTATTCCCGATTATGATTTATGTCCAAGATTTTCTTTATGGTAGAGTAAAAAGACTTATTTGTCCATTATATTTTAAATAAGCAAAATAAATAATAATACAAAATGCGATTATATATTTGACCCTCATTTTAAAGGATGTTAACAATATTTTTATACGAAAATCATGATTAAAAATATGAATATGACGAAGAAAAGAATATAAGAACATGTTTGGGAGCCATTTGGCCAGCTATTAATACATTTTTTGGTACATAGGACTCACCTTTACGGTAATTATTGACTGCACATCTTTCCCACTTATTGAAATTGCCCTTCTGCAAAGACGAATGAATTTTATGAGGAGAGACACATTGGTAATTTTAAATACATTCGGTCAATAATAACTACACCCACTTCTGACAAATGTTGTATAACAGACAGAATTCGACTAAAATTTGCTCCAAAATGTTGAACAAACAAGCGCTAAATGTGATAATGACCTTTAATGCAATTAAAGTGTGGTGTATTTATACAAAATTATGATGTGAATCAATATTCTTATAATAAAATATTCTACACATAAATTCGAAATCTTTTTACTTTTTAACTACATATTTTTTAAAAATCACTATTTTAAAATTCATTTTTTTCCAATAAACTCTTTTTAATGATTGCCGTATCCCTTTAGATAATTTTGAAACTAAGAAGATAAGATATTACGATTTCTAGCATGATTCTAGTTTGAAAATGGATGAGAGAGAAACAAAAGTTAGTAGAAAGACCCTTTTAGTTTTTGGCACAAAGTGGATGAAAATGTTCCCAAGACATTGGACCGTTATTCGTTTTTGTTTCTCTTTATGAGCCACTATTTCGAAATTCATGTCAAGACTACTAAATTAAAATTGACTTACTAATTTAACAACGACAAATTATATTTTATTCTTAATAAATCTGAAATTATTGTATGTTATATAGTTCATTGCTAATTCTGATTTATGTTAAAAAAGTTTGAGAAAAAATTTCGCTTTATTATTAAAGCGAGAACAAATCGTTTTAAATGGAATGCACTGAAGAGCACTTTTTTTAACATCGTTGAGTGAATAACACTACCTTTTTATGTATACTTGAATATTTTTATTTATCTCACTTTTATGTTTTATATTTGGCACGGTAATAATTGTGTTACTAGAAAGGAGAAGGCAATATTGATTTCAAATTTTAAAATAGCATATAACATCGAAGTTTGGATTGCCGATGATTACGTAATCGTATTGAATTCATTCTTTAGAAATGTTCTAACTTAACTATAGGATTTGAATCCAAAAGAACTATGCATTGGTCATTGTTAATTAGAACCATAATATCTTGATACGAAGTTTAATTCAGATTACATCTTTCTCGTTTGACTTCTATTTTCTAAAACTTATTTTATATCAAATTCATTTTCAATCATACATTTAATAGGATCCAAGATTTTTATTAACTTTTTAATTATATATTTCATCAACTTTGGTAGCCATTTTCATTTGATTTTTAGAAGAATTATGCCTGTAACACTTCCTGTGCAGTCAGAATATAATGCACCACTGGGCCACACTAACAAGAAAAAGGGGTCAAAAAATGAATTCTCTTTTGGGCTAAAATGCCTACTAGACACGGGCTAAGCATGAGGAAAGATATTAGTGGTAATTTCATGAAACCATACTTTAAATATGCTGCAATTAATCCTAATTCTCACCTCCTCATTTCTCTCTCTAAATCTCGCCTCTCATCTCTCCACCCTCTCTCTCCGCACAAGCTCCGGCGATGCAGCCACCACTCAGTACCGACGACGCATCCACATACGCTCTCTCTCTAAATCTCATCTCTGTCCCCACACGAGCTGCCGACGGTGTAGTCCCCACACAGCAATGGGCGATAGCTGTTGTTGGCGATAGTGGTGGATCTATAGGTGGAGGTGAGTTGTTGGATCGAAGGGGGACAATGATGTTGGATCGAAGTTTTTTCAGATGATTGAGACCAAATCAAAGTACTACACAAAAAATGAGGGCAAGGAGAATATCCCAATCAATACTGAAATCCATGGGCGATGTTGAGGCCGATCGTCCTCTGGTTTTGAATTTTTATTTTTGAGCGATTCTTGGTTGTTTTACGTATGCAATGCATTAGAAAAAATCTGAAGTTCAAACGGAAGAGAAAGCAGTGGCATCTCTTCCGATTTCAACCCTACCCCACCTTCTCTTACCCAAAAACACCGTGCTCTTTCGCAGAATTTCCGGCAAACTCTCCACCACTAGCCGACGTCGAACAATAGTGCGACCAATAGCGGATGGTGTAAACGGAAATGGAGGGTTGTGGATGAGCAGGTGGTGTGCTTTTGGACAATGATGGCGTGGGTAAATGAGCGAGAGAGGGTAGTAGGGAAGGCGGCGATTTGGGTGGTGGATTTGAGGATGGAATTGGGGAGGAGACTGCACCGGTGGATTTTGATCTTCTTATTGATCTGGCCTGTGACTTGGCCTGTGACTTGATTTATGACTTATGACCTGGCCAGTGACTTGATTTGTGACTTGTGACCTGGACTGTGACTTTTGACTTATGACCTGAGCTAGGACTTGTGATATGGACTGTGACTCTTGACTTGTGACCTGAGCTGTGACTTGTGATATGGGCTGTGACTCGTGACATGTGACTTGTCACCTGGGTTGTGACCGTAAAAAAATGTTAACCGTAAAAAACAATATAGCGGAGCAGTCACCGGAAAAATTGACGCCAAAACAGTCGGCAGAACGGTCGCCGGAATCGGAGTAGTCGCCGGAACGGTCGTCGGAAAGTTCGCCGGAGTAGGGCGGTGATCAAAACGGTCGTCAGAGCGGTAGAGGTGGTGAAGGTGTGATGAGTTAATTATATTATATTATAATTAAATATTTAATAATAAATTAATTTAATAATTTATTATTGAATAAATAAAAATTTAAATTTTTTTAATAAAAATCTGATTTTGGAAATTTCAAACTTGTTTTCTTATTTTTGAAATA